TCAGTGTCAGTTATATAGTACCAATGCCTGCACAAAAAGACAGCAGCAAACAAAATTGCTCCCTTGGACTGGTCAAAAAAAAAAAAGAAAAAAAAGAATGATATAAAAAAAATTGCAGTATCAATAGTCTGTATCACGGTCTCTAACCGTGAAGTAGCTCTGTTGAGACAGCTTGACTTTTGGATGCTTGAAAAAGAAGGAAAAAAAACACTTCAGTATTAAACCACTGTATATAGAACAACATCCTTCTGTATTTACACATTACAGAAAAAAAAGTGATTTAGGAAAAAAATACATTTTCTTTTAAATCAATCACTTAAAATTTGAAGAGAGACACATTCTTGTATGATTTGGGCAAATAATCCAGAATCACTCGTCAGAGAACCTTTTTGCTTTCTTTAACTTGCCCAACAGATCCGCTACACTTTGCCTGTTTATTACCCGACAAACAAAATGCACATAAAAAAGCACAATTGTGATGATGAACCCCAATGTTTCCCCCTTAGTTTACTTTAAATTCACTAAACTGCATAAAACACACTAGACCAACTAAGTCAAACATACAAGAATACAGGTCTCGTTATTTCTAACAAAACCTTCACCTGATGGATTATTCAAATTGTATTAAAAAGGACAAATTATTGTAAAAATGTCAAATGACACTGCACAGAGAACAGGAACAGGGCATTACTGGTCAAAGCAACTCTGACAGAGAGTTATCCTGACATTTTGATTACAGCACTGTGTAAAAAAATTTAGAACATTTGGGAATTAATCTTAATATTAATCTTAATATGCTGGGCGGAATAGCTCATAAGTGGCAGGTATGATGGAGAGCAAGTAATGCAACATTACGCCCACTGAAACATAATGAATGAACTTCAAGTCATGCCAATGAAAATGTTGGACTTTAATATTCAGATTTAAAAAAATCTCTCTCTCACATATTAAAGCACTTTCCTTACTCTTTTCATCAGTGTGAATTAAGAGGAGAGCAGGAACATATACATGTGTGATGGGTACAGCGTTTTGTAGATTCTCATGCAAGTGATGTAAGATTAAAAGAACCTGTATCTTGCCCATACATACATATATTAAATCCGAAATCACTCAAATCTCAAAACAGTGATAAAAAAAATGCCAGAAGCAAAAGAGGTTAAGTGAAACACTTAGGGACTAACCATCCCGTTTAGCCTTTGATACAACAACAGGTGCAGAGGCCAGAACACTTTAACAAAAAGTTCAGCCACCGACAGGCTGTTGTCATCTTCACACAAAGTACGCGTACCTGCGACAGGCTGAAACAGCTTGGAAAAAGAAACCCGAAATTAGAAGATGACTCTCGCGTTATATCACGTCAAACTAATCTTGTACAGTCTTGTTCAAAGCATTTAGTATTAGAAAGCCGTTTATTTTGATATAATAATAATACACATTGAGGAACATTTGGTGTAATGTAGCTACTGTAATTGGGAGTAAGGGGAATTTAATAGGAAGTTAGTCAGTGATCATAATAGTGTCGCGAAGTCTGGATAACCTTAAACAGTCAATTGCGGTTCAAACTATTAGCCTACAATAAATGAGAGTTTAATGTTTGCCATCGTAAAAACAATTTACCATAGCCTACTTTTAAGTTTCATTTTATTACTCGGGTAAACTAAACAGTGATAGCGACCGACCACAAAAACCCTTTTAATTATCATCGATTAAAAGATAAACACACTCAAAATCATTTTATTCTTACTGGTCCAAATATGAGACGTTTGCGAGCAATAATAGGAATAATAAAAAAAATATTAATGCGAAGAATATAAGAATAAAAAAAATCACCCTATTTGCTTGTTTGTGTAGCCTACGTATCTTTCAACCTTCCTCTAATAAATAATTTCCTTTTAAACATTTGTGTAAACAAAAACGTTTAATGTTGTAAACGAATGTCACATTGTACCAAGCAATTATGAACTTGATCATTTTACGATAAAAAAAAATTGAAATCACTATGCCACATTAGTATTAAACCTCCATAGTTCATAGAAGAAAAATTAATTTTTGCAAATGTAAACAAATATAACAGATTGAACTTTTGAAATAGTATGATTCGTGTAGCATATGAGGCACGGTGTTTTATATAAGATACAAATCGTTAGGCTATTTCTTGCCTTTTTTATTATTTTAATTTAATCTGTCATTTAAGCCTAATAGATGTCATTGGAAAAAAATTGAATCTTGGACTGACTTAAGACAATTTACGTGCATTAGATAATCCACTTTGGCAACTTCTTCATTTAGCCTGAACAAGATGGGCTATATTTCAACCTCAAATGCGCATGATTACTAATAGCGAAGTTTGCACACAAGCCCTCTATTAGTTGAATTATCCGCATTTAATCTCTTGACATCTACCTGTAGTGTAATTCGGCATGGTCGGAAGCCTATTGTCATGACAATGTTTTAATGCTAAACAATAGGCAACTGCTTTATACAGAGTATGCTACAGTTTTATTATGTCACAATAAAAAGTTAAAACAATCATTCTTGCCCTATTAACGACGGTTGTCATATATTTGAAGTTAACAGTTTTATGTCGTTAATTATCCCGGCCATTAAGACAAATATATATATATATATATATATATCACTTTCTTCAAGAGATGATCTTACTTATTTCTGTCCAACCAGTTTTTTACATACCTTCATTTATTTTGAAGTACAAAACTCACATAATCAGAGCTTCTGTTAATTGCTTATGAATTTGGTGCATAGAATATTAGCAGCAATTAAAGTCATTGTGTTTATATGCACTTTAGATCGACTATGTCCACCATAACAGCAATTCGATTAACACAGAGGAAAATAAATGTTATATAAATCCCAATTCTTCGAATCGTAGTGCAGTAGGCTTCCTTTGAAAATGTACAATATTCAATAGGATGAGAATATCTTTGTCATTTGCATGCTACTACATACAAACATCGTATTAAGACGTTTTAAATAATCAAGCAAAAAGGACTTTAAAAAGAAAGTTAAATTAACACACCATTTGACCTACATATTTACAAGTGGGAATAAATAACTCTGGCTCAGTTCGGTGTTTTTTTTTTCTTTGTTCTTATTCTGCACTTTTTAAACAATAGAAAAGAAATGCAAGGACGGATTTCATGTGATTTCGCAGGTAGCGACCGACCACAAAAACCCTTTTAATTATCATCGATTAAAAGATAAACACACTCAAAATCATTTTATTCTTACTGGTCCAAATATGAGACGTTTGCGACCAATAATAGGAATAATAAAAATAATAATAATGCGAAGAATATAAGAATAAAAAAATCACCCTATTTGCTTGTTTGTGTAGCCTACGTATCTTTCAACTTTCCTCTAATAAATAATTTCCTTTTAAACATTTGTGTAAACAAAAACGTTTAATGTTGTAAACGAATGTCACATTGTACCAAGCAATTATGAACTTGATCAAT